AGTCACTGTAAACTTTTAGTCTTTGTATATTCCAGATAAAAGTGTGTGGACTGTCAACAAGTCTGAATGCAAAGAAGCACAGTACTAATAAAAGGTGATTGGAGGGAAGGGGGGAAATTCAGATTAGTCCAATCTAATTTATCATTAGCTTACTGTTTATAAAAAGTGTAATGTACATCTGCACAAAGAAAAAAATATTGTACAGCTCCCCATGATAAAAAGCAGTAGGCATTTTTAGTGGACTATCTTGGACCACTTAAAGAAAATTCCTATAATTTACAAATCTATATTAATTCATTGTGAACTTTAAAAAACATAGCTGGATGGAAAGACTTTTTTAGAGCATTTTTGACAGCATTATGGACTCATAAAAAAAGATAGAAAACACCATAAAATAATATTTGGAATAACATCTTGGAAACATCTTGGAAACAAAGGTATATCCACAACTCCCCTTGTTATGTAGAGGAAATATACAAGAAGAGAAGAGAGTAAAAGAGCTTAAAAAAAACTGTCCATACATACTGCTACTGCTTTGGATCCCCAATACAAGATGACAGAGGAACATGACTGAACTATTTACCGGGACAATGGGAAGGAATTGTGCAGGAGATACTGTGGCAGTTTGTCAGAGGTGGGCCTGGCCATTCTGCCTATAGCATTGCAATGATCAACAGGGGCCACTGTAGCAGTTAGCTGCAAACTACATCACAGGCTGAACCAGCTCCAGGTTGGGGAAGGGACATTGCTTCTTGCCTAAGACACAACCTTGGGCTGTGTGCTAGACTAGAGGCCACTGCTGGTAGAAGCCAGCCTAGCTGAGCATGTAGTCTACCATTCTATCAACTGTTTTATCAGTCATCACGGTAATGCCTAATTAAAACCTCAATCTGCTTGGCCTGTAATAGCTAGAGCAGTCTTGAGGAGTATCACCAGCGAGTAGAACTAGCCAAAATTATCTGAATTTAAAGTTTTCTGCAATAACTTTTATTAAAAAATTCTGGTTTTGATTTCCTCCTTTCTCCCTCTCCCTACACACACATTTTGATAGAATTGTTGAAAACATAGGGGGAGTAAACGAGCATTAATGATGTCCAGCATTCTGGTTGTACGTCTATTGGATTTGAGGAGGTGAAATTCAGTTCTGTGTGTGTGAGGTACTGCAGTTCTAGATGGTTTGGTTCTGACTTTATGCTGCCTGTGATGTTTACCTGGAGCTACCATACAAACAGATTTGTGGGATGTAGCCCTTTTTTGTAGACGTAAGGGAAAAGAGTATACATATTAAGATGCACTTTGGTCTGGTGTTTGACAGAAAAGAGCTGGGAGCCAGGATTCAAATGCAGTCTGAAACACTCAATGCAGCGTGTGACCTGGGGCGAAGCACATTCCCTTCTCAAGCTTCCGTCAGTCCAAGTGTTACAGCCTGTAAAAGCAGAACTCACTTTTTAACCAAAAAAGGAGCATCTGAATTGAGAGTTATTCTGAGTAAACTAAAAATAATTTTTTTTCTAGTTGGCTGCTTCATTTCTAACCATAAAGAAAAGACCCAATGCTCCAATATAATATTTACAAACGGTTAGTCATGACTGGCCATAATGGGAGGAGAATGTATAAAGTAGTGACATAGAATCATAGAAATATAGGGATCAAAGGGATCTGAAGTGATAAGCTAGTCTAACCCCCAGCCCTGAGGCAAAACCAAAGTACTGGATATCTAGACATGATCAGTAAGAAAACTTGTAATGAAACTTTCAAGTGCAGTCTTAAAAGGCCTTTGAAGCAGGATGCAGGTAATCAAGTCGTTGAGACAATGTCCTTTCTGGTTGAAAGGGCAAGAAACTGTTTTTTCTGTGAGATCCTAAGATCTGTTTTGTGGCCATTGATCCTTTGGCGAAGTGTATGAGATGTTTGTCCAATGTACATAGCAGACGGACACTTTTGGCCCATGATAGCATAGATTATATTTCTGGATGCGCAGGAATGTGTTCTTGATCTTATCACTTGAGTTAAGAAATTTGATTTGTCCTTTTCATATGTGTTCATTTTTTTAATTGTATCCTTTGGTATATATGGTTGAGACAATTTTCTTCCACTAGTTGACCTGAGGAAGTGGGTCTGACCCACGAAAGCTCATCACCTAATAAACCATCTTGTTAGTCTTTAAAGTGCTGCATAGTCCTGTCTTTTGTTTCACAAAATTTCCAGGTCTCCAGGAAAGTCAAGTCACATTGGGATCACAGAGAGGTTCCCTTCCTGGGAAAGCGCCTGTTTCGCGTAAAGCCTGTGAAGATCTCAGGTGTTTAAGAGCTTTGTTGGATTAGCATCCAAGCAGGATCATCCCTAGAATTTAGGCATCCCTATGCTCACTCTCCCCTGCATGTACCTCCCCTCCCTCTGTGTGTGACTTGTTTCCTCCCCCAGCTGGGTGCTCCCCAGGCTCTCCCCTCCCCTCTGCAAGGGATGTTACCTGGGACAGTCCAACAGGGAGGAGCTCCCGGGCTTGAGGCTCCATGGGAATCGGAGCACCCCAGCCTTCCATGGGCAGGAAGCCCGGCTCAGGAAGGGCGGCTGATAGGTGTGTGTGTGGGGGGGGGAGCTGCCCCCGAGCATGGCAATTTAAAAGGGTTCAGGGCTCTTGGCTGCCACCACCATGCACCATCAGATGCTCTAGAACCCGAAAGGCAGGATAAGGGAAGCCCACGAGGGAGGTAGGTGGGTGGATTCCGGAGTGGCCTAGGGAATAGGGCATTCACCTGGGGACCCTAGGGTGGTGGGCTCAAGCAAGAAGGAATGCACATGCACATGCACATGCACATGCACATGCAATGCCCAATTAGGGCACCTTCAGCAAATGAAGCTGTGATCTGCTCACTCCCAGTTTATTCACTCTGCCATTATAAGGGTAGAAAAGGGGAGGGCAATCTGAAATATTTATACCTCTCTCTTCCCCTCTCCCACCTCCTTTTCCCAGTCTCCCCGAGTTTTGTCCAATAAAGAGAGTTTCTATTTTTGAACACACGTGTCCTTTATTTTGTACATCAGGAAGGGGGGCTAGAGAGGGGTAAGTGGAAGGAGGTGAGGGAGGAATGGGGTACAAGCCCCCGATGGGGAGGACTGGGGTGGATCTGCAGGCTCCTTGGGTTGGAAGCTCTCCTGCAGTCACCCAATTGACCCTCCCCGGGTGGCAGCCTGCGAAGAGTGCAGCCGGGCTGATGGCCGAGTGCTATGATGTGCTGAGTGTGGGCATTCAGGGCACTGCAAGCCAGGACTACATTGCTGTCCCTCATTGAGTTAGACAAGCATGCGGGGAACCCCTGAGAACTGTCTATCCGGGGTGGGGGTCAGGTTCCTTTAAGCACAGCCCTCGGCTAGCCTGAGACCGCAGCTCCACGCTCTAAGTCCTAACCTGATGCCCTGCCGGCACTGCTTCCGGCCATCCTTAACCTCGGTTCAGGGTCCACCTAATGTGGACATGCTAGCGCGAATTAGCAAAATGCTAATTCAAACTAGTTTTTAGGTCTAGATGCACTAGTTCGAATTAGCTTAGTTCGAATTAACTAATTCGAATTAAGTTAGTTCCAATTAGTGCTGTAGTGTAGACATACCCCTAGTTTGTTTCCTCTACGGCATCCTCCCCAGGATGCTCTAGGAGGGAGGGCAGCTGAACCTGGAGACGCGCATTATCCCCACCCTCCCCAGCAGCTCAGTACAATGCATCCCCATCGCCCCTCCCCTGTGGTGCTGCAGAGAGGAGCTAAAAGGCGGTGAAGCAGAACAATAAGCTTTGCTCTAAAGGCCCCCTCCTGCATCAGTGAGGGGGGGGCAGTTGGCTCCAGGCGCCACTCTGGGGGGGCACCAAGCTGAGGTGGAAGCACACAGCCCCACGTAGCGAGCACAGCACTGACAGGCCACTTGCTCCCTGCAGACAAGCCACCAAGGCAGGGCTAGGTGGCGGGAGCGGGCACTTCTGGGGGAGGGGAGGGGCATTGGGTTAAAGCAGGAGGGGGCTTGGGATGCCTGGCTCTGTGGGAGGGGGAGGACATTGGGTTAGAACAGGGAACCTGGGGGTACTTTTTCTTTTTTGAAAAAGGGTTACGGGCAATAGAGGCTGCAATTCCAAAACCAACACTTGGTGTCAGTAATAGCTGTAATTCTGTTTACAATCTCCTCTCCCTGCAGCACATACTTTTTTGTTGTTCTTGCTCCTGCATTTATTTAAAAGATGCCTTTGGAAGGCAGCTATACTTTGGACAATTTTTTTTTCATCACCTCAATGGCAAGGGCAGTGTGTGCGGCCTTTGTTCACTTGTTTCTTTTTTGTTCCAGAGTTTACAACTTACCACTAAACCTCCTTTTAAAAAGTTCAAACCACGTTGTTCCACGCTCTTTGCCTTTCTTCTTGGGTTTCATGCTTCTTCTCTCTGCCATGCATTGTACCTTCCAACAAGTGTATTTTAAGTGTATTTTCACATTCAGCTTAAATGAGAAACTCAGACGTGCTTGACCGTTTGCACCAAATACCTATCTATCTTCTCTGGATTGAAAATAGTATATAAACATTGTAGTTATTCACTGTAGAACACCTGTTGTCTTTGTAGCCGATAAGTCCTGGTGGGTGCAGAAGATACACATCGGTGCTATCTTTGAACCTGGATTGATAAAAGTTTATGTATATGTAATGGACTGGTCTCTTGCACCCCGCCCAAGTTTGGGGGGGGCAATAAAGTCCCCTCGTACCGAGGGACCACTGACCCGCCTTTTGGTATAGCGGCAGGGGCCAGTCGCAAGGTGGGTCGCACGAGGAGGACCGGGGAGGGGACTCGGGCCCTCCCTCTCTCCGAGTCCCAGCCCAGGGCCCTAAGGCAGGGGAAGCTCTCCCTTGCCAATGGAGGGGGTTGAGACCCCTTAACCCTCCATTCACAGGGTCCACAGCCCTGCCCTGGGCCTTCTCTCCCCGGTTCGGGTCAGTCAACCCCCCATCGCGGCGAGAGACTCACCGCACGCTGCCGCCTCCGAGCCTCCACAGTGGTTTTCGGCTCCTCCGGTTCTCCCCCCGACTCTCTTAATATCCGAGGGTTCGTATCCTTCATACTTCAGATCCATTGCAGGGGCGCGTGGTCTGTTACCAAGGTGAATTCGCCGCCTAGAAGGAAATAGCGTAACGAGTCAATGGCCCATTTAAGGGCTAGGGCCTCTTTTTCTATTGTTGCGTATCCCCTTTCTCGGGGGAATAGCTTACGGCTCAAGTATAATATTGGGTGTTCCTCCCCTTCCTCCTCTTGGGCTAGCACTGCTCCCACCCCGAGGTCGGATGCGTCTGTTTGCAGAATAAACGGTTTGTTAAAGTCAGGTTGGATTAGTACCGGGGCGTGAGTTAGTGCGTATTTCAGCTTTTTAAAGGCCGCGTCACAGTGCTCTGTCCACCTTACACGTTATGGTTGCCCCTTGGCTGTCAGATCAGTCAGGGGGGCGGCTATTGAAGCAAAATTGTCCACAAACCGCCGATAGTAGCCGGCCAACCCTAAGAATTGGCGTACTTGCTTTTTTGTGGTCGGGACGGGGTATTCCTGTACTGCTTGGACTTTACCCAGTAGGGGCTTAAGCTGCCCTCGTCCCACCATATATCCCAGATAGGATACTTCTGTTTTCCCGAAGTGGCACTTTTTTGGGTTAGCTGTCAAGTTCGCTTGTTGGAGTGCCCCCAGTACGGCTGTTATGTGGCCCAAGTGCTGCTCCCAGGATCCGCTAAAGATAATAATGTCATTTATGTAAGCCACAGCATACTCTTGGTGGTCCCTCAGGATATGGTCCATCAGCCTTTGAAAGGTGGCCGTGGCCCCATGTAAGCTGAAGGGCATATTCACAAACTGATACAGCCCGAATGGAGTGGTGAAAGCCGTCTTGGCTTGGGCCCCGGGGGACAGGGGGATCTGCCAGTATCCCTTCGTAAGGTCTATGGTTGAAAGGTAGCGGGCCCTTCCCAATCGGTCTAGCAACTCATCTATGCGGGGCATGGGGTACGCGTCGAACCTGGAGATCGCGTTTACCTTGCGAAAGTCAATGCAGAATCGGGTGGATCCGTCTGCCTTCAGTACCAACACTATTGGGCTTCGCCATTCGCTTCGCGACTCCTGGATCACCCCCCACTTCAACATCGCTTGGAGCTCCTCCTTCACCACACCCCATAGCTTACGCGATAACGGTCGCAGGTGGTCGCGCACCACTTTACCTGGTTCGGTTATGATGTCGTGGCATATCCCCTGGGCTCGTCCCGGCCGGTTGGTCAATACCCCCTGGAATTGTTGCAGCGTGTGTTTCACCTGTTCCTGCTGGGTCTCCGAAAGCGTCTCCTCAATCCTGGCCTGATCGCTGGCTATTTCAGGCTCTCCCCAGGGCCCGAATTCGATGTCTGTGGGCCGAGGGTCGATCAGGAGGGCTTCCCGGGGGTTCCACTTTTTTAGCAGATTTACGTGATACACCTGTGTTTCCTTCTGGTTGCTATTGATTAAGACTTCATAGTCGGCGGGGCCTACTTGCCACACTATTTTGAAAGGTCCCTGCCACCGGGCCAGTAATTTGGACTCCCCCTTTGGAAGTAATAGTAACACGGGGTCCCCTGGTGCGAATGTCCGGGCCTGGGCTTTACGGTTGTAATGGGCCCGCTGCCCCTCCTGGGCTTTCAGGAGATTTTCGCGTGCCCCTTCGGCCAGACCTCGAAGGCTCCTTCGTAATTTCTCTATATACTGCGCTACCCCAAGGGCCGGGGTTACTTGTTCTTCCCACCCCTCTCTTACCAGGTTGAGGATCCCCCGCGGGCATCGCCCATACAGTAGCTCAAAGGGGGAAAACCTGAGTGATGCTTGGGGTACCTCTCGGACCGCGAACATTAGAGCGGGAAACAGCTTATCCCAGTCCCGGGGATCGTCTGCGACGAACTTACATAACATCCCTTTTAGTGTCCGGTTGAAACGTTCCACGAGCCCGTCCGTCTGAGGATGGTAAACGGATGTTCGGAGCTTCCGCACCTGGAGGAGTCTACATAGTTCCGTCATTACTTTGGACGTTAGGTTAGTCCCCTGGTCAGTCAACAACTCCTTTGGCAACCCCACTCGGGAGAATACCCTTACCAGTTCCTCTGCTATCGCGGTGGCCATAGCCTTCCTCAGGGGGACCGCTTCGGGGTACCTGGTTGCGTAATCAATGATGACTAAAATATATGCATGCCCCCTGCTCGACTTCTCTAGCGGTCCCACCAAATCCAACGCGATGCGCTCGAATGGGGTCCCCACGATGGGGAGAGGATCGAGGGGGGTGGGAGGTACCTTGGATGTGGAAGTTTGCTGGCACTGTGGACAAGAGGCACAGAAGTCTTTAACGTCTTGGTAGACCCCCGGCCAATAAAATCGCTGGAGGATTCGTTGCTGCGATTTTTCAATCCCCAAGTGGCCCGCCCAGGCGTGGTCGTGGGCTAACTCCATTACTTTCCACCTGTATGGCTGGGGTACGATCAGCTGCCACCTTTCCTCCCCTCCTGCTTCCCTGGGGGTGACGCGGAACAGGCGGTCCTGGTGTACCTCAAAGCGGGGCCCTGGGATCTTCTGCCCTTCCCTTCCCTCCGCCGCCCCTATCTGTGCCCACGCGTTCCGGAGGGTCGGGTCTTCCCGCTGTAGAGACACGAAGTCACCTTCATCTAATCCTAGGTGGGGTGTCGTCGCCTGCGTGTCTGGCTGGGGTCCGGTCCCGGCCGATGGTCCTGCCACCTCCTCTCCGTGGGCCACTAGGACCTGCCCATCTTGTATTTTCCCCTTCGGGTTCCCCAGCGTTCACCCCCAGTCACTCAGTAAGCTGGCTAACCCTGGCCAGTCTCTTCCTAGTAATGCGGGGTAGGCTAGTTTGGGCGTGATTGCCACCTCACAAGTGCCTTTCACCTGACCATCGTCGATCACCGCCCGTGTTGTGGGGTAAGAGTGGATGTCCCCGTGGACACACCTCATGTACACCCGGGGGCCCTGAGGTTTACGGGGTTTAAGGACGTCGGCCCTTATTATCGTTTGGCCGCATCCTGAGTCTAGCCCCACCCATTTCCCTTGTGTTATTTGTGTTCTATCCCAGGTACCCCCCTTTACCTTCCCTGCGGGTCCTTGTCCGAATGTGCAGTCCATGAGTGGGCAGTCCATTTTGTAATGCCCTTCCTGGCCACACTGGAAACACGCCCCGCGGGTTCCGGTTTCGGGCCTTGGGTTCCGCTCCGGCTCGGGGTGAGATCTTTCTGTAGGGCTAGTCTCCTTTCCGGCCCTAGATTTAAGGAGGTCCTGCGGCCGTGGTCGGGCTGGGATTTCGTTCCAGCTCGCGGTGGTGGAGGCCCGCCCTGGGTGTCTCTTGCCGCATTCTTGGGCCGGGCCACTTCGGACCCTTCGGCAGCAAGGAAACGCTCCATTAGGGTTATGGCTTCTTCCAGCGTCTCGGGGAGGTGCCGCCGCACCCACCGCTGGCCTTCTGCCGGGAGAATCTTTACATATTGTTCCAGTATCACCGTCTCGGCCACTTGTACCCCGGATTTATTTTCAGGCTCGAGCCATCTCATCCCCGCCTCTCTAACCCACTGGGCCACCACCCTGGGGCGTTCCCGTGGCTCGTAGCGAGCCTCCCGGAATCTTTGGCGATACATCTCGGGCGAGACTCTCGTACGCCATAAAGGACCTTCATTTCTTCTTCCCTGTACCATGATTGAACAGTGGCTAGCATATCCATCAGCTTCACCAAGGTCAATGATTGTCCCTGGAGCAAAGACATGCCTGCTGGCATCCATCAATCCCCTCCAACATAATAGAACAAGCTAGATTTTCAAACACAGGCGTAACAGGTGTGCTAACAAAACTATGCCCACACAGACTGACCTGTCCAAGTCCTGCATGATTAAACTGGCTTGCCTGTGCAGTTGGGGTCCTTGTGCCCTCATTACCCAGAGGCCTGTGATCTGCATGACAAACATGAGTTGTGTATGAGCACTAGAGGGATTTTGGCGGTACACTTTTTGCGGTGGACAATTTGTCTGTGTCTGAAAATGTAGAGAGTGATTATATCCAATCCTGACTCTTATTAAATTGAAAGCACGTCCTTAAAAATTGTTACAAAGAATGAAACAGGGATGCATTTCATAGCTGAGAAAACCGCTAACAATTCCCACATTTAATATATAGATGGGCTTGTCCTAATTCATATCTAGCTACAACTAATATTCACCAATAGGGGGTGCTGAGAATGATCAAATGCATAACCTAGATCCAGTGTCAGGTCTTCCACCACTTTCTGATGTTGAATTTTAAGGTGTTGAATCTAGATATTTCCATTGCTCAGTTTCATTCCATCACTTTGAGTTTATGTTGCTGTAATGTATTGGTCTTTTGCACCCGACCCAAGTTTGGGGGGGCTATACAGTCCCCGCGTACTGAGGGGCCACTGACCCGCCTTTTGGTATAGCAGCCGGGCCAGTCGCAAGATGGGTCGCACGGGGCGACCGGGGAGGGGACCCAGGCCCTCCCTCTCTCCGAGTCCCAGCCCAGGGCCCTAAGGCAGGGGAAGCTCTCCCTTGCCAATGGAGGGGGTTGATTCCCCTTAACCCTCCATTCACGGGGTCCGTGACCCTGCCCTGGGCCTTTTCTCCCTGGTCTGGGTCAGTCAACCCCCCATCGCGGCGAGAGACTCACCGCACGCTGCCGCCTCCGAGCCTCCACAGTGGTTTTCGGCTCCTCCGGTTCTCCCCCCGACTCCTGTCCCTCCTGGCCCTTTTGAAAGGGCCGCCATTCCGCGTCCCCTCTAGGCTCCGCCCCCGGCTGCGTCACCCGGCCCCCCGGGAGTCCCGGGATGACGTCACGGGTGACGTCATCTAAGTGCGCCGGTCTGGGCTGTGGCCCCACCGCCACGGCCATATCCGCAGCGGGCGGAGCGGTCTCGGGCTCCCCCACAGCTCCCCCGCCGCTCCTGACAGTGCGGGGCAGCGGGATGAGACCGGCTGCCTCGTCACAGTATAATACAGGTATGTAATCTCACAAATTGCTGCATAACTTGCCATTTTTGCCAAAATGTGGCA